CTACATCGCAAAAAGTGACATCGTCGAAAAAAATAGATTGACAATTACCACATTGCCGAAATTCGGCAAACTGTATTTCGGCGAAGAGCATACGTACCCGATCGTGTATGATCGTATATTGTGTAAATTACGATCGTATACGACCGTATTACTTGCCGCCAGAGTTACGACTGTATATCATCGTGTCATAAACGACGACATACGACATGCATAGGATCAGCATAAACCACCGTACACAATCGTTTCCCAATAAAATTGTATATATTCTCCTCAGTGAAGAGAAGGAAAAACAAAACTAGGGTATATGACATCATTCAAAAAACCGTCGGATGTATCAAATGATAGAGAAGAAATGAGTAATACATGATAATTTTATTAAATATTTCATCATAAATTGCCAAACATAAACAGTAAAGAAGAAAAAAAAGAAAATAAATATATATTTTTTTTAATTACACACTACCTTACAAAGTTCTTAAACGCATAAGCGAAAAATGAAATCACAAAATTTCTTTTATCAAATTTATAGTTCTTATTGATAGATTCATCTAAAATTTTATTCGGTAAATTTTTTTGAAAAGAAAGACTAGAAAATTTTGAAAGAAAAACAAAAAAAAACATCGCAGTTAAGTTGCAAAAATAAGTTCACGTGTAAGATAAATATATGTAAAAGGACCTTGATGATAACTTTCATAAATAATATTTTTTGAAATATTTTTTTCTATAGCAGGTTCAATTTGTGTTCCTTCATGCCATTCATTAAACGATGTAATTGTTACTATTCTATCATTATCTTTTGGTAAATCTTTAAACATTTGTTTATAATAATATCCATTTTGTCTTGATCGTGTTGTTTCACCATTCCATGGTCTAATATTTGTATCTATATAACCAGGTCCAACACTTGGAATAAATGGTATTGATTTACATATATCAACAATTGAAGACCAACGTTGTGATGTTGATGCTTCAGTAAAACCATTAGCAGCAAAATATGAATAAGCAGCATCAAAACCAGATGATACTAATTGTTGACAATCAGTTGCTTTGAGTATAAGTCCAACAAAATAAGCTTGAAATTTTCTTTTATCTATTGATGAAAATTTTTGACGCCATTCACCTGTAGATATTCGATAAGAATCATAAATATAAAAGAAACCTTTTTCTTTATAACGATAAAATGCTGAATGTGAACCATATTGACGAAGAATATACTCGGACCAATATATAACATTATCAGCTGTACGATTTTGATATGGCTCAATATGAAAACAAACCTTAAACAAACAAACAAACAAAAAAAAGAATTCGAATTATTAAACACAAAGGATTCTATCGGATAAGATGAACACTCATTATTTGAAAAGCCTGATTTTGTAGAGACGTATCGAATTTTATAGAGGAAGTTATATTTTTCATCAACTTTAATGTTCTCAGAAGTATTGTACCAGTAAGAAGTATCATAGTAATTATGAGTGATATGACAAAATATTAGGACTTGGTATGCCTTCAAACCAATCTTGGATCGGCCATTACAAATGTTAGTGTTTTATTTTATTTTGTTTCTTATGAATTTAGACCCTAAACGATCAGGTGTGATTAGAATTTGGAGTTCGATTCGATTCAATAGATGTTCAGTCCCTTATAAGAATTAAAAATCTTTAACATTTTCGTATCTCTTCTAGAGATGCGAAAGTGAAAATTTGTTTACTATTTGCGAAAGATTTATATATACATTAAATGAAAGGGCATGATGAACTTATGATTAATAGATAGAAGTTTTTTCACTAGAATAATTATTTCTCGCAAAACCCATGTACTTTTCTGCACTTAGAGATGGAAAAATTGGCCATTTTCAGGTACAGATTGACTAATCTAACAATGGTATACAATATATTCAGAGGACATTAGACAAATATACTTGTGAAGTTTTGTAGCACAAAATTTCTGAGACAATTGCACAGTTGCTCTCCGAGCCAACATCGAAGAATTTAAAACATCCTAAAGATCCAAAAATCACAAAAGTTATGAAGTAAATTTAAGCAAAATTTGATATAGGCTAGTTTGACGTATCACTCACAATTGCTATAATATTCCTTAAATGATATATGACTTTTTTGAGTATTAAAACTCAATAAAAATGCAATTTTCTATATATATTAATCAATACATGCACGAGATAAATGTCTTTTGAAATAAATGATAGTCATCTTATTGTACAGAGTTCTTTCATTTATTTTTACTTTTAATTTATATTTATCAGCTGCATCAAGTAAACGTGGTATAATATCATCCCATGGACGTCCTGCATCATCAGCCATTCCAGGTGGATACCAACTTACTGATAGTGTACCTTAAGAAAATTTTCATAAATATTCTTAAGAAAATTCAAATATTTTCCTTATACCTGCACCACTCATACGTATCATTCGCATATGTTTATCAAGAACAACAGGAGAACGAGAACTATAAGGACCAAGTAATGGATAAAAATTACTACCAATATCATCTGGTGGTTTATGTTGATTTTGTGGATATTGTGCAGCTTTTTCACGATTCCAATGAGCTAATCGATGATGATTCCAATGTAAATATTGACCTTCGTCATATTCTGGATTTCCATACCTTTAGTTTTTAAATTATAATCTTAACTTTTGTTTAAATAAAATTTAACTTACCATAGATAATAAAAAATATGATAATTATATTTAACAGGTGTTTGTTTTATAAATAAATCAATATTATCAATTTCATATAAAAATGATGATATTGTTGTTAACGATGACACATGCGTATGAGAAATATCTTCTTCATAATTTATATGTAAACTTTTATATAAAATAAAACACCAAATAATAAGAATTAAAATAAAACCAATCGCAATCCATCGTATTCGACGTCGACGTGTATATATTTGCCACATTAAACATCTGCAGGAAAACTATTATTCTTTATGTTTTATTTTTATTAAATCAAACAAAAACAAATTTTTAACTGAATAGAGCAGATCAAAAAAAAAATATATATATATGCAAAATACCTCACAAATCACAATTTGAACATTATTATTTTTTCGTAAGGTTTAGATAGAACGCTTTAGATTGCATAAAGGAAAATGTGTTTCAAACATATTTTTTGTACATTAGTGCCAGACAATTTTATGTTTCTATCCAACATGTACACTTGAGATATAGAGAACAATCAAGATTTCCATGTCGCAAATTTATTCATATTACCGTTGGTCAAAAGACAGTTAATCATCCAAAAACTAAGCAACTTTTGGTATAGCGTAAATTATATCGAAAGATCATTCGATAGTTTCTATTTAGTTCAAATTTTATGAACTGTTTTCATTTTATAATACATAAGAAAAAGAAGCCAATAGTTTTTTTTTAGTATTTTAATTCATTATATCCATTTGTTAGTTTTTTTGATAGAAACAATTTTATAGAATCATATCTAGATCGATCAATGGGAAATAGAAACAAATGTATTAAACAATAATCCTAGAAAAAGTTTGTTTTATTTTTATTTTTCTGTTTTATGAGTGTTACAAATAGCATATATGAAAAAAAAAACTGGGAACAGATGATAATATGCTCGTATAATCAATACTAATAACAGATAAAGATTATACGAACAAAAAAAAAAAAAAACGATTTATCGCTTTTTACGATAAAGCTCTTCAGTTGATTCATCAAATTTTGGATCAGCAATATTGATCATTAATGCTTGAGCATCAAGAAATGCACGATTTGTACTTAATGAAAGCTAAAAAAAAAGATAAAATTTTAATAAAACATAAATCTTTTTTATATACCGTTTTAGCAATAGTTTGTGCAGCACGAATTCTACGTAATTTTAAATAACCTGGATTTTTACTAATAGAAATACCAATCTAAAACAAAAATATATTAATCTCGTTTTGTTTTATATATATATATATTAATTAAACATACAAGTTTAGCTGATTCAGCATCACCTTCAGCTAAAACAATTTTTTGTTGTCGTTCTTGTTTAGCTTGTTCAACAGTAAATACGGCTCGTTGTGCTTCTTGTTGAGCAACTTGTTTAGCTTCAACAGCAGCTGAATATTGTGGACTAAAACTAAGTTCTGTTATTGATACATCATCAAGTAATATATCAAAATCTTTTGCACGTTCAATAAGATCAAGACGAATTAAATTCGATACTTGTTGACGTTGTGTTATTAATTGTGATGCATTAAATTTTGCTACAACACCTTTCAATACTTCATTACATATTGATGGTAATACACGTTCATCCCAATCTAAACCTAATGTTTGATATAATTTTGGTAATTTTGATTGATCAGGTCGAGCTAAAACTCGAAGAGCTAAAAAAAATCAATAAAAAAAATTATTTTTATTAATAACAAAATAATCAACAAACCAATGGTGATCATTTGTAGATCTAGAAAGCAAAACAAAAAAAAAGTCAAACGAATAAAAAAAAGAAAATATTAAACCTTTGCTTCCAGTTGGTGATTTAATTATTCGTGGTCGAGCTCGAATATCATATGTAATTGGATATTGAAACCATGGAATTCTATATAAGAAATATTCTAATCAAGTTATGAAGATTTCTTTTGTTATCTTACCTAAAATGTAATCCTTCAGCATGAATTGTATTTAAATCAACACCACCAATACGATTAAAAATAATTGCACGATGACCACCTTCAACTATAATAAAAATTATGATTTTAGAAATTTAAATTTCTTTTCTTTTTTTTTTTCCTCTACTTTATTCAAATACCTGTAAACATGGATTTATAAACTCCATAAACAGCAGCAGTAGCTCCAACAATTAATTTAACACCAAGACCTAGTCCTTTTGGTGTACCTTTAGATAATCGACTAGCGAATTCATTCAATTTTTCAGCCATATTAACTATTGTTTTTTTTTTTTCTTCGTATAATCTAAAATGAAATTTATTTGACAGAAAAAAAATTATTTATATGAAATAAATAAAAAATTTATTCTGAAAATGATTTTGTTTTTAATATTAAATTATTATTTAATAATTGATTAAAAAGCGATGATATTTCAGTATCAATCGATGTTATTATCGATGAAACATCACGTTCGATTGATGGATGAGTATCCTAAAACAAAAAAAACAAAAATGTCTGTAAATATTTCGAAATGCGATACAAGAATATTTCTTTTTTAAAAAAATGTTCATATTTTGAACATATGAAGAAACTCCAATCGTTTTAGGATTTTTTGAAGAAGAAGGCATTTATTAAAACTTCTTTACATTTGATATCCATAATTGTTCAAGTTGTACCAATGCACTATCAAGTGTATCAAGAGCAGCATTAAATTTTTGTTTTTCTGCTTCTAAATGTTGACAATTAACATCATGTAATAATTCATTATTTTCAATTGTTGTTGTTGTTGGTTGATCAAGTACACTTTCCTATTTTAGAAATTAAAAATTTAAAAACAAAAACAAAAAAAAAAAACTTATTAATTACCATCCATTTCCAAAAGATATTTTCATGTTGATTCCAATAGATAAATAAACTTAATTTTTGATTTTCTTTATCAAGTTCAATTAAATACTTTAAAATATAAATAAAAATTCTTTAATGAAAAGAAAAATAATTTAATAAAATTACTTGAGATATAAGATGAGGATATTGATAAAGTTGTTTTTCAAATGATGACATATGTTGATTTTCTTGTGAAGTCATTTTTTCAATAGTTTGTAAACGAGAACGTAATTTTAAATTAATAGATAAAGTTTGTTTTATTTGTTCTATTAAATTATATTTAATATTTTGATTTTCATCTTTCTATTAATATAAAATTAAAAATAAATAAAAATATTTTGTTTTTTATGTAAAACAAATCATCTAAATATACTTGTTTATCATTTAAAATTGATTTTAAACATAATTTCATACATTTTTCAATAAATTTAATATGATAAATAAGCCAACCAAGACAAACAAGTAATTGTCGACTACCTTTTTTCATATCGTTATCAAGTGATAAAAAATGTTCATATGTATATCCACGTTTATATAGATCATGTTTGATTATATCAACTATTTTTTCTAAAATAAGAAATACATATAAGTCAAGATCAAATTTCAATCGATTAATTTAATGAAAGTTTATTCTAATATTTCAAAATAATCTATCTTTAAATTTTTTTACATAGAACCAGATCGATAGATAATTAATAATGACTCGAAGTTTTTTAAAGTCCTAATGTGAAATATCGACATGTGCCGGAAGGAAGATTTTCTTTTTTTTTTTTAAACATTCAATAGCATTTTTCAAAGTAAATATGATTTATTTTTTAATGAAATACTTATCAATGAAATGATACGAGAAAAAAAAGAGAAACACGTTCAATATCAATTCACAGTTTTCCTATTTAATAATCAAAAATTTTCTTTAAGAAAAAAAAACTAATAATAATTAAACATTTAAATACCTTTTGACATTTGAGAAAATTTATTTTTGAAGATTTCTTGATTAGTTGAATCTGAATCAAAATGAATCAGTTCAAATATTAATTTGTACAATGGAATAGTCTAAAAAAGTTTTATGTCATAAATATTTTATTTAATTCATATTTAATCTTACCGCTTCATTTTGATCATATTTAGCCAAACGAAAAGTTTCCGATGTAATCATCGAAAATCCATACAAAGATAAAATCTGACAAAAACAATCAATTACTGGACGGACTTCTTTTAATGACATTCTAAAGTAACACATATTCATTATTTATTTTATTTATTTTTTAACAAAAACAAAAAAAAATCTTTTTCTTTTATTAATATATTTATATATGTATAGTATTTTGTATGTTTGATAAATGAACAAAAAAAAAGAGCAAAGAAATGAAAAACAAAAAGATAAGAAAAAAGAATAGATTTTTTTTTGTTTCATACATCATATCTTTCTCTTTCTCTCTCTCTCTATTATTCACTTAGAAAAGAAAAACAAACAAATAAACATGGAATATCCAGCTACCTAATCTAGGTCGCATAAAAAAGAAAAAAATATACAAAAACAAAAGTGCACATGCATGATTTCATTTTTGTTTTAGATCATTAATTAAGTTTTACTTTTTATTTCTGTAGTTATTGTTGATGTCGGAGTCCATTGTTGTTGATGTCGTGAAATTATGAGATTCATAGAAGAACTGTTCATTGTAGATAAATCATTCGAAGATGAATTTGATGACTGATTTATATTTGTTGATGGTGATAATGGTGTTGATATTATTTTACGACTACGACGTGATGAAACACGTGTAGGAGTAGGACTTTCAATCTTAGAAGAATTCGTTGATTGTTGAGGAGATAAACGACTAAAAACAAAAAACATTTTTTAGTAAAGATTGATTTGTAGAATTCAGAAACGCTCGTTCATTGACTGCATTACACTTTTGCCTGTCCACAGTGAGCAACCAGGCGGACATGAACGAAAGTATTCTTTTCCAAAGTTTAAATATTAGAATAAATACATCTAAGATTAGTCTATCTTGCCTTGAAATAAAACTTCCAGAAATTAAGGAGAACTCTGGAAAACTTCATTTTTATAAAATTGCTCATAAATCGCTATCTCTACACAAAGTTAATTCATCGACCAGCTTAACGGAAATATTTAAAAAGAAAAACTATCCAAAACGAATGATTACTCTATCGAGTTCATTGTGATAAAAAAATGATTTTGATTGGACTCAAATTGAACACGAAAAAACTGGATTATCGGGCTAAAAGTCGGTCCGAAAATTGGTCATTCCGTATTTTACAAACCCTACAAAGAGTTTAAGTCCGATTGACCTCGAACTTTTACCAATTATTCTTCTACATGTGATCTATCGTTGGACATAGCGCAACCTCGTGCCAACGAATACGGGCTGTGCTAGAGGTCTTCCAAAAATCCAGGTTTTTGCCACTAAATCTCTCTTTTCCCAATTATAGCAGAGTTGTGGTACAAAACCAAAGTGATATTCGGAATCAGCTTGTCGAGTTGCATCGGATCATATATAACAATAAGTATTTTTCGAAAAAAAAAATTTGGGTCTTTTGCTGGATATCACTCCGAAAATTGGTCATCACGTATTTTGTTAACCCTACAAACAGATTAAGTCCAATTGATCTGAAATTTTTACCGATTATTTTTCTACATGTGATATATTGTTGGACTTAGCGCCATCTCGCGCCAATGAACCAAGGCTGTGCTAGAAGTTTTCCAGAAATCCAGGCTTCTGCCCCTGAATTCCTATTTTCTCGATTCCGATAGCATTGTATCACAAAATGAATATGATATTCGGAATCAGCGAGCAAAACTGCATCGGATGATGTATGACACAAGACATTTTCTACCAAAAAAATTTTTTCGTAAATCTGGGCAAGGGTTCCCCTCAGGTGTTTCACCCCGAGAATTTTTTTTTCAAAAAATGCTTTGTTTTCGTAAATTCGATTTTCTAAGTAATATACAAACATTTCTGAGTAGTGGCAACCCGTTTCAGAGCACAATAGTTACATGTCCGCCTGCTTCATGAAAGTTGCCCACTGTGCTGTCCTAAGAATATCATGGACGTGGATATTTTTGGAAATAGCTCAAGAATGGAAAGAGTTGCGACTTTCGCCATTTGAAAGAGAAAACTTAGAAACATCAAGATACTTGATTGGTCAACAAGAAAATCTTCTGAAGTTATTTTCCTTTCGATTCAGAAAAGTGACTAGCGTCTGTTTTTATCATTTGTTACGAGTAGGAGAATTGTAAAAGCTCGACTGAAACTTTACATTCATTATATTTTTTTTCTTTTAGGAACAAAATGTATGTTACACAGTGTGCCCGGCGTCCCCCGAAAATCGAGTTCGCCCTTCCGAGACTTGTGATAATCGTGCTACGAATACATGGCTTCCCCCCGGAAAACAATTTTTCGCCCCTCCGGAGAAAAAATCCTGGATAAAACACTGATATTACAATAACAGAAAAATCTTTACCTGCTACTTGAAGGTCGACCACGTTTTCCTTTGATAGTTAATATGGGTGAGTGTGGTGGAGGAGTAGGTGTTGGTATAGGTGGATCACACACTGAACATTGCCATGAACCATCTGGAATGGTTTCAAGGCCAACACAATAAGTATGATAACCACGATCACATCTATCACAAAACATCATATTAGCCTAAAATGAAATAATTCTATATAAAATATTCGTTTATTTATTTTATTTATTTATTTGAAATCTTACTTCATCATGTGTTTTATTACATTTTGCACAACTTTTACAATCAATACATTGCCATGAATATGTTTTAATTATAGTTAATATATCATTATTAACTTCAAGACAAGTTGGATGAAAATGATGTTGACAACTAGTACATGTAACTAATTCTTCATCATGTTCATCTTGTGTTAATTTACATGTATGACATATATTTATATGATTAGAAATTGTCGTTGATATTTTATTTAAACGAGATGATAATATAGTATTATTACTAATTCCATTGACTATAAGAGATGATTGTGGTGTGGATGGACGTTGTTGAATTGAACTATTTGTAAGACTAGAACGAATTATTGAATAACTTTCATCTTCTTCATCACTTGATGTAATCTAAATAAAAAAAAAAAATATATTTCTATTAGAAATTCATTATTAATCTTTTAAATATTTTTTTTTTATAAATTTCATCTAATCTCAAAAACAAAAAAAAATGGAATATTTAATATTGATAAGAAAATAAAAATTTATTTTTAGTATATATGTATCATACTTATCTAATCTCTCTTTTATTTCACCTATATAAAAAATATTTAAGACTATAATGAAAAAAAAAAAAAAATCTAAATTTACTTGTTGTGAAAATCGTTCCGTATGAATAAATGAAAGTGGTTTAGGATAATAATAAAATGCTGTATTAATTGGCATATATTTTAATTCATCGGATGTATATTTTTTATAAGAATCTTGATATTGTCCAGGTAAAAGTGCTAATGGATAAGAACCAATTTTTGTTAAATAAGACGGTAAACGTAATTGTCTATTTGCAGGATAATGTATTTGCTATATGACACATATATATAAAGAAAACAAAATTCAATTGATCAAAAAAAAAACAAACCATAGTTTGAAGATCAAAACATGCTTTACGATCTTGAAGTCGTTCACGTTGTAATTGTGTATTATAATCAACTGTTGAACGTAATAAATCTTGTCGAAATTTCTTTAGAAAAAAGAACACATAACATTTAATATCGAATTCTAATATAGACGATACAAAAAAAAAAAAAAGTCACATACAGAAACTCGATTTTTATCTAGATTATCAAATGAATTAATTGTTTGAGTATTAGATGTTGATATGGATGATTGATTTATATTTGATATAGATAAAACTGATGATACAGTACCATTCTTATTACTTCCAACAAGTGAACGACGTTTTTGTTGCCATACATGATTAAATTGCTAAAAAAAAGTCATTTTTTTCATAAAAATCAGTTATAAGAGGGAAATTTGCAAAATTATTCATTATTAGAAATTATTTTTGTATTCGAATTCTATATAAAAGATAAATTGTAATAGAATGAATTTTCTTACATGACATTTTTCTGGATAATCAATTGACATAAGTTCTAAAACTTCATCAAGTTTAAGTGCTGTTAAACCAAGATCACATTGTGTTTCTGTAACAACATTTTGAGATTTTAAATATTCTCGTTCATGTAAATCAACAATACGTCGATAAATATCTATTAATAATAAAAAATTTTGTTTTTTGATTTACCAAAAACAAAAACTATACCAGGATATTTTCGTTTAAATGATTTAAGAGATAAATAATCACATATTTGTTCTTGTAATACATGTAAATCAGCATGTGGTTCACCTGTTGGCCATCTATAGATATGTAATTTATCAGCAGATAAATGACGCCTAAGACAAAAAGAGTTCAATTTTTTTTTTGTTTTCAAAAAACAAAAAAAAACAAACCCTAAACTTTGATCAATATCAGTTGTTGTTCGTTTTTTTCGACTTTTTTTAATTGATATATCTGTATTTGTATGTGAATGATTACTTTCATTATTATCATCTCGTGTTAAACTTGGTGATCGACTACGTTTAAAAGATTTATTTGTTGATTCTGTATGATTATAAATAATATGATTATTAATTGAAGGTAAAATAACAACATCAGATGATGTTGATACTGATGAATGAATTGAACTATTCATCAATTAATCTAAACTTAAAAAAAAAACAGTGTTTTCTTTTTTTTTGCCCTTCAATAAACGAGATACTGTTGTCGGTACCATTTGGAACTTATTCTAACCTCGATAAACATAATTTTTAAGTTACACAAAAAAAAAAAATCATCAAAATTAATTAAAAATTTTATTTATTGAGAAATTTATTTCTTTTTTTTTTTATATATTTTATTTCGAGATTAAGAGATATAGAGGACGTTAGAGAAGTACTCTTTTTTTTTTTTCTTTCCTTTTATAAATACATTGATTGTAGTGCAAATTGAATCATAATTCTGTACTTATAAATAAACTGAAAAAAAATATTGCTATAGTTATTTTGATTAAACTAAGACGAAGATGTTACAACACCATGGTAGTCGTTTAATAGATTCACCAAATTTTCAACAATTATA